AGCTGCAACTGGCCTCCTGTGGCTGCCAGTGTCCACTACATCTGAGTAGCTTTGACGTAATGGAGAACAGGGCCGCCGGGAGAATTCCCACAAACCCACACTGCTGGGGGTCATGCTCACTCTCACAAACAGCTCTGTTGGCGCCAATAAGTAAGGTAACAAACAAGAAAACTCAAACTGCATTTCTATTATCATTCAGTGTGATCAGGACAAAAGACAATAAGTGCAGTGAGTGTGAAGTTGGATTTAAGGGAGTATTGGTCTAACACAAAATAACATTGCTGATGTGAAAGTCTGTAGTACACTGAGTTTTGGGATCCTAACATTGGCTCAAATCCTGAAGTTCTCTTTCAATTTTGTCTCAGTCCTTACTGAGGGGGAAAACTTCATTGACCTATACAAGGACATGATCAGGCCTCAAATTTTGAGAATTGAAAAGCTCAGTGTATTCTTGCAGCAGTGTGTAAATCCACTTCAGAATTTCAATAGGCAAGTTCTTTTTGAATAATATTCCCTTGTTTGTGCTTTTTCCCACCTCGCAGCAGCAGGACAACATAATGTATTTAGAGCTTTTCTGCATCCTGCTCATGTTCTACATACAACTGCAAGTGAGACGCTTCTCTGTACTAAAATCAACTGGAAAGATGTGACACGACTCTGGCATACAGCCACTGAGTGAGAACAGGGAGCTGGCAGACACCAGAAAGAAATTCCATAAGTAATGAGGTAAAATAAGATACTGAAAACAGTACACATCTCGAGAAAGTAATTTTTCCCTTCAAAAAGGAACTGCTTTGTGTCTCACCCTATCAAAGGCAAGAGGTTTGGGGAATTAGACTGTGAATGAAACCTGTCAGCATCCCACCAACTACAGAAGAAGGAAATGGGCCAGCTCTTCACCCTACATAAAGAGTGGTAATGTATATTTTCTTTCTGTATAATGTGGTAGTAATCTTTGACTGATAATCTTTGATTAAATAATTCCATTTGAGCCTGTTATTTGACAACCTTGAATCATTATTATAAATTATAAATTCAAACATGCAACATCATTATCTGTGGATCCATGGCCAGCACTTACAAAGTGGCCTCTACAGCATTGTATGTCGTCATCTTCATTCCAGTGAAGGACAGCTCATTGTAGAGGGGTACCTGATAAGTGAGACCTTGGAGGAGTTCAAGAACCAAGATACAGTATACGTTTTTCTGGCAGCACACAGCTTAAAGACACAAGCACATTATGGGTGTAACGTGGGGTGGGCGGGGAGAAAGGATTTCCAGGCACATTTGGAATCTTGCCCCAATTGCTGTTTATATGAGCAAGACAATATAGCAGAGTAGAGAAAACGTCCTACAATTCTCCTTGCCACAAATTCCTCTTTCCTACAAAACACTGAAACATTTTAATATTTCTTCCCAAAACTAACCCCCCTCCACTTGGAATCTGAACTCCTGCCATTGGGCACTCACCTTGCTATTGTTTCCTCCTTATTGTATCAGGGGTTTTCTTTTACTGAAGGGGGTCCTCTCTTTGTAGTGGGTGGTTTTACTTTCAGATTCTTTAATGTCCTTTTCCTTCCTCATCTGCTTTCTTTGGGTTTTATAGCCCCTTTTGTTTGTGTTATGTCTGTTTATGGTGTTCACTGGCATACTGGTACGTATGGTGCAGTGATGCTTGACCATCAAAAGCAGTGCTGTTCTCAGATAGCATTGCTTAGTATGGTCACTAGCCAATCAGAACAAAAGATTTCTACTTCCCATTCATTACATTTACTCATGCAGCCCAGGTAAATGTGCAACCTCTTAAAAATCCTAATTGAAAAGAGGTGTAACCAAGTTAAAAGAAAAGGAGTACTTGTGGCACCTTAGAGACTAACCAATTTATTTGAGCATGAGCTTTCGTGAGCTACAGCTCACTTCATCGGATGCATACCGTGGAAACTGCAGCAGACTTTATATACACACAGAGAATATGAAACAATACCTCCTCCCACCCCACTGCAAACAGGGAAAGATTAAGAATGAGCTCTCAAAAATGGATACTCTCATAAAAAACCAACCTTCCACACAAACTTCCTCGTGGCTGGATTTTACTAAAACTAGACAAGCCATTTACAACGCACACTTTGCTTCTCTACAAAAGAAAAAGGACACTAAACTTTCTAAACTACTGCATGCCCCAAGGGGCCACAGCAATGGTTCCCTCAACCCACCTAGCAATATTGTTAACCTATCCAACTATACTCTTAGCCCAGCAGAAGCAGCTGTTCTATCTCGGGGCCTCTCCTTCTGCCCCTCCACCCCCACGAACATGATACAGTTCTGTGGTGACCTAGAATCCTATTTTCGACGTCTCCGACTCAAGGAATATTTCCAAAATACCTCTGAACAACATACTAATCCACAGAGGTCTCCCTACCAACACTACAGAAAGAGGGATTCGAGGTGGATTCCTCCTGAAGGTCGAAACAGCAGACTGGACTTCTTCATAGAGTGCTTCCGCCGACGTGCATGGGCTGAAATTGTGGAAAAGCAGCATCACTTGCCCCATAACCTCAGCCATGTGGAACGCAATGCCATCCACAGCCTCAGAAACAACTCTGACATCATAATCAAAAAGGCTGACAAAGGAGGTGCTGTTGTCATCATGAATAGGTCGGAATATGAACAAGAGGCTGCTCGGCAGCTCTCCAACACGAGTTTCTACAAGCCATTACCCTATGATCCCACTGAGAGTTACCAAAAGCAACTACAGCATTTGCTCAAGAAACTTCCTGAAAAAGCACAAGATCAAATCCGCACAGACACACCCCTGGAACCCCGACCTGGGAGATTCTATCTACTACCCAAGATCCATAAACCTGGAAATCCTGAGCGCCCCATCATCTCAGGCATTGGCACCCTGACAACAGGATTGTCTGGCTATGTAGACTCCTTCTCAGGCCCTACGCTACCAGCACTCCCAGCTACCTTCGAGACACCACTGACTTCCTGAGGAAACTTCAATCCATCGGTGATCTTCCTGATAACACCATCCTGGCCACTATGGATGTAGAAGCCCTCTACACCAACATTCCACACAAAGATAGACTACAAGCCGTCAGGAACACTATCCCCGATAATGTCACGGCTAACCTGGTGGCTGAACTTTGTGACTTTGTCCTTACCCATAACTATTTCACATTTGGGGACAATGTATACCTTCAGATCAGTGGCACTGCTATGGGTACCCGCATGGCCCCACAGTATGCCAACATTTTTATGGCTGATTTAGAACAACGCTTCCTCAGCTCTCGTCCCCTAAAGCCCCTACTCTACTTGCGCTATATTGATGACATCTTCATCATCTGGACCCATGGAAAAGAAGCCCTTGAGGAATTCCACCATGATTTCAACAATTTCCATCCCATCACCAACCTCAGCCTGGTCCAGTCCACACAAGAGATCCACTTCCTGGACACTACAGTGCTAATAAACAATGGTCACATAAACACCACCCTATACCGGAAACCTACTGACCGCTATTCCTACCTGCATGCCTCCAGCTTTCACCCTGACCACACCACACGATCCATCGTCTACAGCCAAGCTCTGCGATACAACCGCATTTGCTCCAACCCCTCAGACAGAGACAAACACCTACAAGATCTCTGTCAAGCTTTCTTACAACTACAATACCCACCTGTGGAAGTAAAGAAACAGATTGATAGAGCCAGAAGAGTTCCCAGAAGTCACCTACTACAGGACAGGCCTAACAAAGAAAATAACAGAACGCCACTAGCCGTCACCTTCAGCCCCCAACTAAAACCCCTCCAATGCATTATTAAGGATCTACAACCTATCCTAAAGGATGACCCAACACACTCACAAATCTTGGGAGACAGGCCAGTCCTTAACTACAGACAGCCCCGCAACCTGAAGCAAATACTCACCAACAACCACATACCACACAACAGCACCACTAACCCAGGAACTTATCCTTGCAACAAAGCCCGTTGCCAATTGTGCCCACATATCTATTCAGGGGACACCATCACAGGGCCTAATAACATCAGCCACACTATCAGAGGCTCGTTCACCTGCACATCCACCAATGTGATATATGCCATCATGTGCCAGCAATGCCCCTCTGCCATTTACATTGGTCAAACTGGACAGTCTCTACGTAAAAGAATAAATGGACACAAATCAGATGTCAAGAATTATAACATTCATAAACCAGTCGGAGAACACTTCAATCTCTCTGGTCACGCAATCACAGACATGAAGGTCGCTATCTTAAAACAAAAAAACTTCAAATCCAGACTCCAGCGAGAAACTGCTGAATTGGAATTCATTTGCAAATTGGATACTATTAATTTAGGCTTAAATAGAGACTGGGAGTGGCTAAGTCATTATGCAAGGTAGCCTATTTCCCCTTGTTTTTTCCTACCCCCCCCCCCCAGATGTTCTGGTTTAACTTGGATTTAAACTTGGAGAGTGGTCAGTTTGGATGAGCTATTACCAGCAGGATAGTGAGTTTGTGTGTGTGGTTTTTGGGAGGGGGGTGAGGGGGTGAGAGAACCTGGATTTGTGCAGGAAATGGCCCAACTTGATTATCATGCACATTGTGTAAAGAGTTGTCACTTTGGATGGGCTATCACCAGCAGGAGAGTGAATTTGTGTGGGGGGGTGGAGGGTGAGAAAACCTGGATTTGTGCTAGAAATGGCCCAACCTGATGATCACTTTAGATAAGCTATTACCAGCAGGACAGTGGGGTGGGAGGAGGTATTGTTTCATATTCTCTGTGTGTATATAAAGTCTGCTGCAGTTTCCACGGTATGCATCCGATGAAGTGAGCTGTAGCTCACGAAAGCTCATGCTCAAATAAATTGGTTAGTCTCTAAGGTGCCACAAGTACTCCTTTTCTTTTTGCGAATACAGACTAACACGGCTGTTACTCTGTAACCAAGTTAGTTACTCAAAAAGACACAGTGGGAGCGTGAGCCACATTGCTTACCTATCGATATGGTCCAAACTGCAGCAATTTTCATAATAGCCTTGGTGCGGGAATTGAAGCGGCTGTGCTCAATGGGATTGCGTATTGCTACATACCGATCAAGAGAGATGGCACAGAGATGCATGATAGATGCAGTTGAAAAGAGCACATCTAGGGAAATCCATACAGGACACAACTGTTTAGGCAAAGGCCAAGCAGAATCTGAAACACAGAGAAGAGAAATGAAAGGAAAAGGAGAAGAAAATGATTTGGGAAGCTAGGTCATCATTTACAATCAAATTGGTTTGGTATTTTAAGCCAATGACATACTTTTAAGGGGCGCATGAATATGGATGACAGAGAAACCACCTCCAACGTCTACATCTACTCGGTCCCTAGCTCAAGATGTCCAGCAAATTCTCAGCATTTCCCAGTTATATATTTTCTGTGACTTACATTATTATTCATTAAACACAACAGAATCCTGACCATGCTGAACTGTTGAGTCGGGAATGCCTTTGGGTCCCCAGCTTAATTCCACATTCCCCTGGTCTTTCATAAACCTAATGGCTCTTCACTTCGCTTGAGACCAGAGAGTGCCACTCCCAACTGGGACTCGTACCAATACATATTTCCTTCAAGCTTTCTCTTCAAAGGGTGTAAGGTAGCTTTTCCATAAGCTGACTGGTAACGCTAGTGCTGAATTCAGCTTTAAACGTGCTTCCCAGCTTGGGCTGTTGCAGTACCTGAATAATACTTACCTGCCTTACAGCGGGGCGTTTGCCGAGGGGTTTGAAGCTGTAAAGTGCTAAGTATTATGATTTACAAAAGTGAATACACTAGCAACCTGAACTGAGCAGATAGGTTCGTCTGACTGCTGTTGGCACAGGGCTAATAGGAGTGTCTAAGCTATTAATCAGTTCACTAAGTAGTGAAGTACAGGCTGAGAATAAACCTGCCCCAGAAGGATCCTTAGAGGGCATTGCTATTTAAATCAAGGCTGGGAGAAATTGATTTTTGTAGGATACTCTGCATGTGTTAATGCCCAGAATGGATTGTAACAGATCAATGACACGTCCTGCCAACCTCTGTGCTTTCATCTCACCTATCAAAACAATTTAATCAATAGTGTCTACAGCAGCTGCAAACATGAGAGGTGACTAATAAGATTTGAATAATGATGGAGGAATACCTTAACATCAAGTTGTTCATTATTCAGAACACTGATATTTCAGGCAATTTGCACACCGGCCTGTTCTATATCTCAGCCAGGGAGGATTAAATATATCAGCTATAGAATCAACTCTTCATTAAGAGTGATGCTACATCCTACCTACCCCACGGCCTCCCATTAATGGAAAACCAGGAAGGTTGGTCAGAACCTCACTGAAACCTTTTTTAAATGGGTAACGAAGCAGAACAGAGCCTGGAGTTTCCTCACACTTAATGGAATCTGAAATGAATTGAACCAAATTAAATGATTTAAAATTGGCAAAGTGAAGATCAGGAACAACTACCAAGAGAACGTGTCAGAGGGGAAAAAAGATACATTAGCCCCATTGTACAAGTGGGAGAACTGAGGGACAGACTAGCTGAGTAGCTGGACAAAAGCCATGCAGTGAGGCTCCAATTCTGGGAGTTACTTAAGCACATGTCTAATTTTCAGCATGTATGCGTAGCCCCATTGAAGTAAGTGAAATTTCTCAGATGCTTAAGTACAATCCTGAATCAGAGCCTAAACTGGTGACTAAGCTGGGACAGAACTCAGGAAACCTGACTCCAGGCCAATCCTCCTTCTCCTCGCTGGATACTAGCCCCGTTAATATAACGTTCCATGTACTTGTGGTATCATTCACTGGGACCTAACCTAGGCCAAAGGCTCTGATTGATCTAACCGCCCGTCTTTCTGGAGACCACCACTGTCCTCGCTCAGCTCATTGTATGCCTGTTTCCCATCCCCAGGGAGAACCACACCACTTTTGGTTCAGACACCACTCCATGAAACAAACAGTAGGGGGTGCGCCAACAGTGCACACATTTATCTTTCCCGTCTAGTGTTTGTAATTGGTCGTGTGTCCGCTTTTCCCTGGGGATCAGAGGCCTGTGTTCATTCTCACCCCAGGGAAGATCTTGGCTGCACGACAACATGTTGCTCCGCTGCAGGGCGGGCAGATAGGCCACCCTGAGTCTGCTCAGTTGCATCCAGTCATCTGGCTTCTTTTCGAACAAGCAAGAAGCAGTTGGTAATGACTTTCGAGGAGCAAGCACTCAGGGTTTGGCTATACAGCGAGTAAACGCCCGCGGCTGGCCCGGGTCAGCTGACTCGAGCTGCCGAGCTGCGAAATTGCTGTGTAGATGTTTAGGCTCGGGCTGGGACCCCACAGGAGGGGAGGGTCCCAGAGCTCCAGCCCGAATGTCTACACATCAATTTTTAGCCCCGCAGCCCGAGCCCCAAGAGCCCAAGCCATGCTGCGGATCTTTTATTCCAGTGTAGACGTATCCTAGAGACCTTTCTAAGAGGAGATGAGGGAAAAGCCCTTGCTGCTGAAAAGCGTTGGTTGAAGGTGTCTGTGTGATATAAAATCAAATGAAATGGAACACGATTAACTTATGACTAACCCAGTTCATAAGAGGCTTAAGCACCTTTGCCATAGATCAAATGGTAAGTCTCACGCTTGGGACGTCGCTGCGATCAACCCGAATTGAGTTCAAAGCTTTAGCAGAGTGCAGTTCAGATTTGCTGGATCTTTAATGATCATATTCTGAATACCCATTAATGCCGGGAGGTGGCTTACATAGTGCTGGGAAGAGAGACTCCGATCCCCTTCATGTGGTACAGTAGATCAATGTAAGCCCCAAGCTCTTGCCAGCAGCTGCAGGCCCAGGCTAAAACATAGTCACAGTTAATGCCTTGCCAGTCTTTTTAGTAGGCGTTTCTAGGAGCTGCCTTTCTCATATGGGCGTAAGTAAGAGAGGAGTATAGGGACTGAAGAATTATTATTACACGTATTACATTGTGCCTAGGAGCCCCAGTCTCAGACCAGGACTGAAATGTGCGAGGCTCTGTACAAACAAAGAAACAGTCCCTGAGCCGAAGAGCTTTTGATGGAAGACAAGAGAGGACGGATTGATACAGACAGGCCGATGGGGAAGTACCAGGACATAATGAGACACTATTGATCAGCATGATAGGCTGTGGTATCAGCACACCAGCAGCCTAATGAATGAACTCAGAATATACAATGAAATCAGGAACTATTTGAAGGTGACAGCATGCTGAGGAGGATGAAGTGGGACTGGTGAATAGGTATCAGATGAATGGATCTTTGCAGGAGTCTCTGCTCAGAAAGTAAGGGAATAATATTTGCATTCCAATTGGTTACCCTTCTCGCCCCGCCAGGCACGGTGCTGCACTGATCATCAGGAAATCGGTGGCACAGCTCAGACTGGGAAGCAGGCCTCCTCAGCGCCCCCCAATGTGCCTTAACGAAACACTCTCCTTCCTGCCCATACAATTAATGGCACGGACTTCCTGTGGGTGAACTCTGATTGCTGAAGGTTGTTATATACCGTCAAGAGAGAGACAGCAGCCAATTCTGCTGCATTGTTTCATGATAAAAAGCTTTTTGCGCCTCTTTTCGACCCATCAGCTCCCACAATTGGTGCCTGTTAGGGCCAGCTCTGCCCCTCAGGCAGAATGGGCAATTGTACAGGAAGACAATTATTAGGGACAGCAAAAGGTACAGCAATTGGTGGCAGGCAGGGCTGCGGACTGGCATTGCTAGTAGTCCCGGGGCAGCAGAAACCCAGTCCTGGGGCAGACACCGCAGCACTTCGTTACGGGAAGCTGAGAAGAGGCTTTGCACAGAGCTGCTATCTGGATAAATCTGCAGGCTGGCCTCAAGGCCAGGCGATCACCCAAGTCTTCCCCAAAACTAATCCCTTCCCCCTTTCTGAGTCCAGGGCCCCAGGACGTGCTTACGCAGCAGTGGCAATGATATGTCAGCAGAGACGCTTCATTTTCTCAGGGTGTTCCTTAAGTTATTGTGTGATATTAAAAATGTCATTTTTATATCGTCTGGGGCTCGGTGGCTGCTTCTAACATTTGACTAGGCCTTCAGACAACCGGTCACAAGGTATTCCCACGCCACACAAGCAATTAGTTTTCAGTAAGAACAGTCTGTGCATACCCAGAGTACAAAGCCAGTCATCTTGGTAAGAAAGAGCAATCGACTCCAGCTGTAATTTCATATGAAATGTAATCAGAGGTACAAGGTAGCTGTGCCTTGTGACCGGACAAGAATACAGACTAAGGAGAATAGCAACTTCTTTATTTTAAATGTATAATCTTATATTTCCTTTTTCCCAGAAATAATTTACTCCCAGAAGTTAACAACTCACTTGGTCTTTTTTTCATTTCCATTTGAATGGCAAGTCTCAAGAAATGGCCACGACACAGTTATTAGATGTGCAAATGGGTGAGTCAATCATAACTGGATCCCTTGCTCCAAACACCTCTACATGTCAGTGCATGGACAAGTGTGTTTCCAAAGTCAAACTTGCATTTTAATCTGAATTTTGCTCCTGAAGAACGGGCAGAACCAACCCCCTGGATTCCAAACACCCTGCACTTCGGGAGCACTGAACATTCAGAAGTTCTCTGGTTTGGGTTAATCGGTATCCTTAGGTCCACTGCAGCATCTCAGTCTCAGCTGTGGCATATTGACAGCTCAGCCTCCCAGAGCAGTGTCTTCAGCATGAGTTCAACAGTCAGAATGGAGAAAATCCAACTCCATTTACAGGCATCCTTGTGATGACAACTAATAAAGCAAAAATGGGCAGTGAAATTGGCAGAAGGCCTGTGTGTTAGAGATAACATTCTGCGCCAGGCGAAGCGTCAATCCAGCATCTGGCACTCGAATTCTACAGCTGCCTCACTGGTGTGAGAGTGGGCACAGTGTCTGGGGCTGAATCATGAACTAGCTGCACCAGGTGCACAGAGGAGGTTTCTCCCTCCAGGTTCCCCAGTCACTTTAGTGAAAGTTAAATCAGCTTGACCTGCTGCACAAAGGGTCTGATTCAAAGTGATGGCAGTGGGAGTCTGCCTGCTGACTTCAGCGGGCTGTGGGTCAGGCCCAACATGACAGAACTTAAAACCAGGATTTCACTGGACTCTGTGCAACTCATGTGTGTGCCAGTGGAGACCACCTTCCCCTTGCAGG